TGGAGCCCCCTGCTGTACTCCAAACCCCTCATCCCCAGCCCCACCCCAGAGCCCACAACCCCCTCCTACACCCTGAACTCCTCATTTCTGGCTGCACCCCCAGCTGGAGCCCTCACCCCCTCCCACACCCCTACCCCCAATTTTGTGAACATTCATGGCCCGCCATACAATTTCCATACCCCGATGTGACCCTCAGGCCAAAAAGTTTCCCCACCCCTGCAATAGACCCTCCAAAATGGTAATGAAAGGTGGGATGTGTGGATATATCTCCTCAAAGAACTCCAGTTATAGATGAGTAACTTCTCTTTCTCTTTTGGGGATTGTCGGTACGGGTTTCCACTCTTGGAGATTCACAAAGAGTAATAAATCCCTAAGGAGATGGGAATGAGGAGGATTATTTAACTGAATAATGATTATTGTAGAATTGCTCTCCTGGACTAGGCATCAGATCATGAGGCTAGGCCAACATTGATGCTGAGTAAAAATATTGACTGCAATCCTGGCAGCAGCTCTGTATATTTCCAAAACTGCAACATTCAGGGATCTGAGTCCCCATTTTTGTATAAAGGATCTAATCCACTTCGAAAAACATTGATAGGAAATATTGGAAATATTTTGTTCCATGATCCTGTCACCATAAACCAGAAATAATATGGAATGGTGTTATTTTATTAAGGTACAAGACAAAAGCCCTCTTAGCAACTAGTCACTGCTTTGTTGAAGATCCTTGTCTTCTTAAACCAGGGCCTGTTTTTATCATTAATGGATTTATGAAAGATTTAGTATAGTTAAGGTCCTCTCTTATACACAAGCAACTCTTGATAGCACCACATTTGAGGGGAGACTAATTCTTGTAGTGAGGACAAAATGAATGAAGGCAAGCAAAATAAAAAAATCCAGTATTTATATAGGCAAGGGAAGGGTTGTAATTATTTTAATCTGCATCAGGTTTCAAACTGCTTCTTTTTAAAGGGTCACATAACCTTTTATAGCCAACTCCTTTTAAGAAACTAGGAATTTCAAGCACTTCTTTTCAGCAGGATTGTCCCTACATGCATTGGCACCCTATCCAAAGACAGACTCTTCCAGATTCTCTTATGCTCTATTTTTAATTTCGGTAAAAATATGTGAAATAATACCAAATTTTTTATTTTTATTAAGTTTGCACAGTAAGAGCCAAAATCAAAAACCGCCATGTGAGATTTTTTTTTTTTAAATAAAGAAAATTCTCACCTGGGATGAAAATTGGAATACCAAATTTTCACCTTATATATTCTAAGTCACTTAGATATTAAACTTTAAAAGGTATGAATTATAATATGAAGGTACATTGATGCTTTATATGTAACATCAATATCTCACTTGTAATAAATTTATTAACTAATCAGTAATGCAACTTGTTTAACATGGAATGTAATGGCAAAAAACTAATTACCTGCCACTAGAAATTTCATGACTTAAATTATTGATGAACAACAAAAGAAATAAGTAAAGGTTGTATAAAATACTCTAAGCTATGTGCATCCTAACGGCTATGACAAAGTGGCTCATTCAGGGTTAACACTTCATGTCTGGCAAACGTCAATTCCCCCTACATCAGGAACTTATCCGTTATTTCTTTCTGTAGCTCTGCCCATCTCTAGGATCAGCAGTGATCTGTGTCCTTCTAGCTGCTTATATCACTCCACAGCTCTTTCTAGTCTCAATTATATTGTTGCCAAAACCCATCACCATGAGTTTCAAGAGACACATGATCTTTTTAGCAACTAATGGTTGTTAGTATGGACACAATATGGAGAGGCATACTTGAGGAGGGTGGGAGTCTCATGGGAATGAGAGAAAACAAACAAAGCAGAAGGAGGTGGATTAGGGAGAGGAGCATTTGAAGTTCTGACAGGCTAAATGCTGTTATTCTGATCCAATAAGCCTACCTAATTCTGTATCCCTGATATACTATAGATCTATTTTAATGTATTTAATTACATTTACTGAAATGCTAAAATACAGCATCTATCCATACACTTTAGGTGGGGTCTGAACCTGCACCACTGAAGTAAAGGGGAGCTTTGCCATTGACCTAAAGATTAAAGGCCTTGGGAGCTCTTAACATTACTTAAAGATTTCCAACTGACTTGTTCTTTTTTAAGTAGTTTTGAAGTTTTTACCACATATTGGAAATATATTTAACCAAACAGTATTTCAAACTAAAATCATTTTGTAACTACTCACTACTGCTCTTTTTGGTTCCCAGTGTCTGGCCATCTTCAAGAGAGTTTGAACCCACAGAAGAACTATCTTGACTGTCCTGATGGGGTAGCTGAAGAAATCCTTCACTGGACTCCGAACGGGTAGGTGTAAGAGTCAGAGACTTCAGACGTTCGCGGTTAACATCCTTCTTAGATTTTATCAATTTCCTCATTTTTAGAGTAATCCAATTGCCCCTTCTGTTATAATAAAATTAAACCCATTATTGCATTTATAATTCATTACTTTATAAAATGCATAATTTAAAAAATAATTTGTGTGCAAGTTTAACTACAATATGTGGACATGCTCTGCTCACATGGAAGTCAATGGGAATCTTACCATCAACTTCAATAGGGGCACAAATGGGTCCTTAGCTTGTTTAAATTTCTGGTTATACTCATTTTCATAAAATATATTCAAGCAGTACCTTCTGGGGGGGGATGGCTCATAAAATTTATACTGATCCATAATCTTCTCCTCTAATTTCTCCTTTTGTCGTCTCAGTTCATTTAACTTGTCACTGTAAACAGAAATTAATCAAAATTGCTATTTTAGCAGCTATGTATATATGTTTATATAATATTACATGTTTCTTTGCATTTTTAGGTATCTGAGAGCAGACTTTTTCACCTAAGAATAAGTGGGAGCCGCATAAAAATTGCCAAGAAACAGAGGTCTCTAAGTAATAAAGAGGAAGAAAGAGAAATGGCTTTTTATCAATACATTAGAAAAGAAAGAGACTTTTTATCAATACATTAGAAGCAAGAGGAAGACCAAAGACAGGGTAGGCCCACTGCTTAGTGAAGAGGGAGAAACAGTAACAGGAAACTTGGAAATGGCAGAGATGCTTAATGACTTCTTTGTTTCGGTCTTCACCGAGAAGTCTGAAGGAATGCCTAACATAGTGAATGCTAATGGGAAGGGGTTTCAGAGTAGCAGCCGTGTTAGTCTGTATCCGCAAAAAGAAGAACAGGAGGACTTGTGGCACCTTAGAGACTAACAAATTTATTAGAGCATAAGCTCTAATGCATCTAA